GTGTTTCTAGGAGAGGAAAAACAGGTTGGAAATGTTCCAAACCTTCCCACTTCAGCAATTTCAAAATAACAGTATTTGAACTTTCCTTTAGAAATAACTGTGAGAGATTAGAAGTTTAAATTAAGAAATAATAAATTAATTAATACATTAATGAACTTGCACAAAATTTTTTTTTTAAAAAAAAACAGCCTTTGTGGAAATAGGCAGGTATTAGTTTCCAGCCAAAGCAAATTCTCTCTCCTGCAAAGTTACTTCCACCTCCTCAGGTGCAGGGAGACCTCTGAGCGATTCTGTTTTGTTCAAGAGCCTCTAATTCCTTTCTCTAGCGGCATCACTGACCCTGCCTCTGCCCTTTCACTTTGCCTTGCGCAGGTGATTCCCCCTCCAGGTACTACACCACCTTAGTGACTTTGCTAAAAGAAATAAAACTAAAATTAAAGACATTTCAGAACTGCTGAATCAATGCCAAAAAATGAGACAGGATATATGACAGTGGGGAAGGCCAGTTGTTTTGACTGAAGTGGGAGGTGCAACTGCAGCACCAACTGATGCACATTGAGCATCAGCAATGCCCTTATCATCATCAGCAGCAATGCCCTTATCATCGTCACCAATGCTGTTACCACCATCTGCAACGCCGTTATCATCATCATCTGCAGGCGTTGGCCCTGCTGGGGTCTGGCGCCAGCTGCCAGACACACATCTAGTGAGAATGATCCCGGCCACGTGATTTTAAGTGGACTGCAGAGGACAAAGTGACATGCTCAGGACCGAAGGACCGAAGGATGGAGGGTGACATCCTATCCCTTCCACCTGATGCTGCAGCAGCTGGGACCAGCTGGGAGGTGAATCCCTGGGGCAGCGCAGCCAGCAGTCTCACACTGGGCCTGACAACCTCTATGGCATTCCCATCCTGTGCAAACCAAGTGGTTTTAAGGGAAAACCAGCCAGTATTAAGGAGCATAGCAGTGTGCCAAGGGGCCTCAAAGCCGGGCACATGTGTATGATACCGGACACAATTTGTCCCTCTGCTGAAGCCAGCAGTATTGCCTGCTAATGAAGAGAAAAATGTTCAAATCCATGTGCTCTTACTTCTCAGAATTACACAGCTACTGTCTTGTTTTCTATATTCTCTGCCTTTTAAAAATCCTGTTATTACCAGCACAGTGCCTGTAACCCATAGACAACTTCCATGGCTTAATGACAAAACCTTTAGATTGGAGACACATTATTTTTAAGTGGTTGTCTATGAGAAGCAGCGATAATGTTCCAGTCTATACCCCTTTGAATGATTTTCAGCTCCTAGCTACTACAGCTGTCAGCAACACAAGAGGTGCCTGAGGATGCAGGAAAAAACAACCTGTCACCCTTCAGAGCAGGAAACCAGTTCCTTCATCCCACACCGTGACTCACGACTCACGTGGGAAAGAGAACTTCAAGCAGAATTAACACAAAGGAGCAGAGTTATTACAATAAGGACGAGGCATGTTCTGCATGAGTCTTGCACATGGTCTTTATATCAACGAAAGGAAAAAATTAAAATCAGCCAAGGAAAAAATACCTTTGAGGAAAATAATGTCCTGTACATTTAAATATTGTATCTTTATGCTTATTGGACAAAAGTCACTTACTACAAAATGCTCAGCATCACAACCCTCAGCAGAAACACTCCTTCTGTTAACCAGGAAACAGGTTCTTTTATTCCAGCACTGACAAATAAACTCTGTGAACCTGGTACGGCTGCATTTTTCCCAGCAACCTGACTCCTGCCACCACTGAATTTAAAGCCTGAGCTTTCCAATGGCAGCTACTACCTATTCAAACATCTGGCCAGTTCCTTTTGGTGCCCCCCGTGAAGCCAGGCTCCCCAAATCCCCCCACCCAGCACCGCTTCATGCTCCCCGGGGTGTGAGTGGAGCATCTCACCTCGGAACAGCACGAACAGCCAGAGGAGTGGATGGACAGATGGAGCCAACATCTTCTCAGCAGCTTGTGGATCTGTAGCCCTGCTAAGGCTCTGTCCATCCCGGGAGGGACGAGAGGGCGAGGAGCGATTTGCCTGCCTGGGCTGACTCTCACAGAGCTTCCTGTTAAAGAATAGAAGGAAACGGGCTGAATCCACAGGGGAACTGTGTTTTTTAGTCCATTATGGTTGGAGAGGATGTGAGACATCGCTTACCGACGGCAAAGGAAACCTCGCCATCGGTTTGTTGGGGGATTCGGCCCTCAGAGCGGCGGCATGATGGGCCTGCCCTGCTTTGGGCCTCAGTAGCTTCTTTATGATGTTTAGGTTTTTTGGGAGATGCTTTGTTTGTGGTGAGGATGTGTAACCTGGGTCCAATTCGCTCCACATCAGCCACGAGGGCTGCAGGCTGCATTGTTCCTTCTTGGGCGAGGAGCTGCTGGAGGACCTGCTCCTCCCCTCCCACCTGAGAGGGGATTTCTTAACGTATCCAGGAGACAGTTAGAAATATTTGCTCCTTGTGGGACCAGGGTAACTCAGCAGTTGGTGCTGCCCCATGCCCTGCACCTCCCTCTGCAGCTCCGGTGAGTCTGGGCACCAGGACCTGCTGGTTTTGGGATGCTGTTTTTGGGATGCTGGTTTTTAGGTAGCAGCAGCATCCTTCCCCACAGGATGTACAGCACATGGCAGGCTTTGACTTACCCTAACCCCAGTCCCTTGAAAAGGAGAGGAACTGGAAAATTGGGCTGATTCTGCTCCAATCCAGCCCAAGGGGTTTGGCGCATTTGGTTTCTTGGCCCAGACCTTTTGATGCACTTTATGCATGTCCTGTCTGTCTGTCTGTCTGTCCCTTGCTGGCATGGTTTGAACTTCAGAGGTAACAAGTTGCCCCGTGCTGGATGTGAACGAGTGTTTGGGGAGAGGAGAAGGGTCTTAGTGTCCCCATGTGGCTAAGGCTTCTGTGTCCACCTGTCTCAGAGGGTCCGTGCAGGTGTTCAGGATGCAAATCCACAGGATTGTGTCTGCTGGCTGGGGGGGGACCAGTCCCACAGCCCCCTGGAAAGCTGCAGAGCCTCGGCTGAGGGCAATGGAGCTGCTCCTTCACTGCATGGAGCACATCAAGGGTGTGTCTTATGCTGCCAGCAAGATCCTTGCTTTCCACCACCAGGAGACGGCAACAGGAACGGAGGGAGAGATTTCCCATGCACTGTGCAGCTCCTCACCCTTCAGTGGGTCCCTTCAAACACCTCAAAAAACCCAAGCAAACTATCAAGACAAAGGCAGCCAGCATCCCACGGCAGCCTTTGCTTTTACAAAACCTCTGGTAGCAGCCTCTCCCCCATCATTTTTTCTCTCTTGCACAGATGTGATGCTCAGAGATTATGCTGTAGATTAAGGTTTTACCGAATCCTGAAATAAGTGCAAATTCCAGCAGCTCTAATGTGTGGCCAGATCTCTTTTGGACATTCGGCTGGATGGGGAAGAGGCATTTCCCACCCTGTCCTCCCCATGTGCAGGAAAGACAGAGCCCAAATATTCACCCCAGCTTGTCTGCTGAGAGCCTCCAGGTAAGAACAGTGTTGTTTTGGGATGGAAAGATGGGGAGACATTTTGTAATGGCTAAAACTCTAGAGGATCCATCGTTTCTGCTCTGGGATGTGCTTAGGGTCACTCCAGGTGGCAGAGGGGCTGGCCACATGGCATCCCTGGACCAGGGGGACAGTACTGCCTGCATGCAGGGGTAAATGCTGCCGGACTCGAGAGCATCCTTGCAGCCTTGCTCATGTGGCTGCTGTGCGAGCACCAACCTGGCGATGGCTCCTGCCCGTGACCCTGAGCAGGTTCCAGGGTCCAGAGCTTTGCCGTGGTCTCACACCGCGGCTGGCCAGAGCAGCACAGACGAGTGGTCCTTCCTCAGCAGTGGGATCCCCGGCAGAGAAAAATCAACCCTGGGGCTGCATCATCTCTGGGGGCAAGGGTCCTTCCAGCCCCCAGCACTGTGTGATACACTTCACTGGGCTGTGCAAGGAGCTCACGTGCAGAAGGGGGATTTTTTTTACACCGATTTCTTAACCACATGAAATTTTAATGCCAAGTCGGTGGCAGGAGGGAGGTTTCCTGCAGTTGGGTGGCCGGGGGCTGTGTGTCTGCAGCCGAAGGGGCGGTCAGGTTCTTTCTCCCCAAACAAAAGGGTGCTTGTCTCGCAGAGGGTGAGAGGAGGGTTTTTTTCCGGTGAGGGTGCGTGACAGCGAGGGAGGGGACGGTGGCGATGATGTGGCACCGGGCTGGGTCAGGTAAGGGAGCAGCTCTCCTGCCCGTGGGATGAGCAGACGCTTCCTCCTCTGCCCCGAGGGGTGTGGGGCTGAGGCGTGACGTGGCAGCCTCTGAAGTGAGCCTGGCTGCACCTTCACCGGAGAACCATCCTGGAGGGTTTTCTGCTGGTCCTGCCCTCAGCTCCCCAGTCTTGCCGCTGGAGATGATGATTCCCACACAGCAGGGACATCGAGGTACCCC